ACTGTATATATATATATATATATATATATACAGTAATATATATTTATATATAAATTGAATTAGAAAATTTGAAATGTTGGCAACTAACTGAAACTAAAATTAGTTGAAGTTGAAGTACTAAAATTAAAACTGAAATAAATATAAATTAAAGCTACACTGAACAAAATTATAAACGCAACACTTGTTTTTGCCCCCATTCTTCATGAGCTGAACTCAAAGATCTAAGACTTTTTCTATGTACACAAAAGGCCTATTTCTCTCAAATATTGTTCACAAATCTGTCTAAATCTGTGTTAGTGAGCACTTCTCCTTTGCCGAGATAAACACAGATTTGTGAACATTATTTGAGAGAAATAGGCCTTTTGTGTACATAGAAAAAGTCTTAGATCTTTGAGTTCAGCTCATGACAAATGGGGGCAAAAACAAAAGTGCTGCGTTTATAATTTTGTTCAGTGTAAATAGAAATATAAAAAGACACACTAATAAAAATGTCAAAAACAACAAAATTACTAAATGCTAATTCAAAATATTAAATAGTATATAAAACTATAATATTATATAAGTAATACTAAAATAACACTGTATATAAGTCTTTAAAATAAAATGCAAGCACATAATATTTTTCTATTTTATTTTATAATAAATTATACATTATTTAAATAAATTGTATGTTAATATAATAATAATAATAATAATAATAATAAAGTCCCATGACTCCACCTATCCTCTAGGACAAAGCTCAGCCAGAGACTCAGGCCAAGAGTTTTGGGGACGTGGGTTTCAAGGCCCTGCTGGCTGTAGATGACCCCTCTGCCCTCTCTCTGGTGAAGCAGCCAGGATCTGACGGATTCAGGCTGGATTCTACTCCTCTTTTCCAGGTCTAATCTTTTGGATGGTTCATTAGTTATGGAATGACTATATACAGAGGCGTACTGCAAATCTGTGACATTCTGTACTGGATTCCTGTCATTAACGAGGTCAGTCTTGCTCACTCTTATCCTTCTTGTCTCTAGGTGGCAGTAGGGAGGGAGTGGTTCATTCACACCATCTACACTGTGCGTTCAAAAGACAACGCCAAGCGTGGCATTGGCAAGCGAAGTGTAGAGTACCACTCAATAACATCAGGTGACCTTGTACCAGTGGAGGCCAGAGGACGCTACAGACGGTCCAACAGAGAAGTCCCGATACTGGCGGAGGAGATCGGACCCGAGAACAACCGAGGAACGAATATCATGCACATCGCTCTGGACCGCAGCCGTCGTCGCTCTGTGTTTGGGGAGGAGCTGTTCGCAGACAGACTGTCTCCACGGGAGCTCAGTGGACGAGGTGCAGAAGAGGACGTGGTGACTGTGGCAGGAGCCATCGTGGGACTGCTTCTCACCGTCCTCGTGGTTATGGTGTTGGCACTGATGGTTCGCTCAAGGCGGACGCCTGTGAAAAAGGCCCCAAGAGTCTCGTCCAGCCTGCAGCCTGTTATAGTTAGAAGTAGCCTTGATAATGGTGACCGCTCAGAGGTCTGAAGGACTAATGAACTACTTGGAGACTGTACTGTTCTCCTTTGTCATACATTGGATCAATTTTCTTTGGTTTAAACAAGTGCCTCTGACAGGTTTTATCTTACAGAGAACTCACAACCCAGTTCATCACCAGCCCAAAGAAATCATTTTAAGTGATGTTTTATGTTGTAACTGATTTTTTGCTTGTCCAGTAATGGATTGTTGAGGTCTACCCAGTGTTCAGAGTTCTCAGGGGTCCCCATAATGCCCTACCCATTTTTTTGGTGGGCTGAGTGGGTGGGTGAGTGAGTGAATGGATGAATAAAGAAGGTAAAATAAATTATTTTATGCCAGTGGATGTATTAACAGAACCAAGATCTCATTTGCTTCCATTTTAGTTTCATTAAATTCCCAAATGATTTTTTTGAATCACAAAAAGAAAATAATAAGAATAATAGTGGTAATAATAATCAATCAATCAAGAAAGAATGTTATAATAATAATATTATTAATGATATATATTTTTTTTAATTTAGTAGTTATTATTATTATTGTTGTTGTTGTTGTTACTCTGACCATTTTTTCCAACCTTTAATTAGTTGCAAGTACATTAAAAAACATTTTTTAAATAGAACATTTCTGTCAAAGTGGTAATTCAAAGTGTGTGAAAGTTTCCTTAAAAAATGTCTAAAAATAAAAGTGACGGGCCCGTCACTTTGAACACTGGGTAACACCATATGGGTAATAAAGATGCATTTATAAAGACATTGTGAAAGGAAACGTAAGTTTAAGTCATTTCTTAGGGATCATGTGGTGCATTCAAATTAACTGATCACGACACTGACACTGGTATTGTGTGTTTCACCTTTATTAATCTCAAGTGTTAGTATTTGCTACTGTATTTCGGAATATGTGATGGCTTTGGAGAATATTATTTTTCCTCAATTGCTCAGTGTGTTTTACAGATATGCTGGTTTTACCAGCAAGTGCCAAGATTTTAATGAAGAAATGCTGAATATGCATTTCACATCACACTGTCAAATAGTTGTTGTCACAAAGTTTACATTGTCTGTCAAATGTTGTCAAATTTAATCTTGTTGCTGCTGTTTCTATTGGTTATAATTTAAGCATTAGTATTCATGAGAGCCGTATGTATTAAATATTGCAGTCTTATCTCACTAAGTGTCATTTTAAAATAAGAAAAACTGTGACCGGAAATCCCTCCAAATTTGTGACAGGAATTTCCAAATTTGTGTTCGTCTATTGCAGTTTTAGTTTTTTCACAGACCAGATTCACTTTTCTCTGACATTGGTGTATCAACTATCACATTTTTTTGTCTTCACTGTCATTAGACACATCAAGCTGTTTATGCATCCATGAAAAACCAGCATCCTATTGTCAAATCCAGTTCACCTCCTGACAAATATATTCCTCATCAGGCTGATAATATTTAAAAAGAAATGTGCTATGCAATAAAATCAGTGGATTGTTTCCATATTCACAGAGGATTGTGAGGTTAAACATGAGCACGATTTTGGGCACAATGTCCAGAGCCCACAGGTGAGGCTCGGTCACCTGAATGTCTTTCTACCTAGACATCATTTTTGGGTTTATGTGCTTAAAATGCTGTCTGTGTAAGCAGCTCAGTGGGTTTCGATGATTTGACCTCTGTCTTAGAGCCAGGTGTACTTCATCTTAGCATTATAGATTAAAATGGTCTTCGAAATGAAGCATCATACTTCATTTTATTATTATTTTTTCTAGACACCATGATGTTGCTCCTGTCCCTGAGGTTGTTGAAGACATGAAGGTTTGTTCAACATTGCTTGGTTTTGTCTGTTGTGTAAATGATTTGATTTAGCCTTTCTGTATGTTACTCTTTTGTGGTGTCGATTTTTTCTCTCTTCTTGTCCTCTTTCCTATTGTCTTGGTCTAAATGCCCGAGTTAACACCAGAAACCTTGGGCATTCATTGCTAACCTTGGGGCTGGAACAAGGGGTCCGTCACTGTGGTGCTCTATGTACATGTGGCATTTAGCACTTACGTTAAGTGTTTTTTTTCTTACCAGACAGCCTTGGAAATGTCTTGAGGTATCTCGTAGGCATTGTTTTATTGCAGTGGTTGCAGTTTTAAGGTTCTTTTCAGAACAGTTCAAACCAAATATTATATGTCCAGTGAGTTATCGTCTTGAACAGTGTGTCAAATTAACACCAAAAATGTGGGTACTTTTTGCACCATGGTCTGTAATTTTTTTTCTCCGATACACCAATGTGTGTGAAGAGTTCATGTTTTCTTCATTTTTGTAATCTCCGAAATGAGTAGTCCTGGAAATGAACCTTGAACATTTGCAATTTTGATTAGCTTCGAATCTAAAGTGCATCGTGAATGTAGAGCTCTGTATATTTGTTTTTTTAATAAATAATATTTTTTCACTATATTCATATTATATTATTGAAATAATAATAAAAATGCTGTATTTTTATACACACACACACACACACATTGTAATAAATAATTAATTTAAAATATATTATTCAAATATTTTGTATTCAATTTAAATGTAATTTTTGTTAAAAAAAATTTTTTTATTTTTATAGTTGGGTAATTTCAAATATATTGGCTATTATTTGTTAATAATATACATATACATAATACAAATATACATTATTTGTAGTTAACCTAAATTAACAAAGGGCTCTGTATACACATTTTTCAATAAATAACACATTTTCAAGGTATTTATATTTTGTATTATTAAAATATTATTTAAAAATTATATAATATATATTTTAAATTGTTATATTAGGTTATTAAATTGTTTAATTGTTATATTTATTTATTTTTAAACTATTTTCTTAGTTGTATAATTCCAAATATATATTGGCAAATATTTGTTGTTAACCTAAATTAGGTTTCCAAATTAAAACTCTGAATGGGAAGTTAAGTGGAACTCTGTTTAGTTTTTATATTGTCTTGTGTATTATTTGATATTTTAGTTCATTTATTTGAAAACTGAAAAATGTAAATGGTTCATGGTTCATCAGTCACTGTGGTTGGTGGGCAAAGAATCCTTATCCTTTTCTGGAAACTTCCACATCAGTAAAGTGTGACACGTTTCACACGCATGAATGATCTGTTCCTTTGGATTACTTTCATACTCCTTGCTCAGAGCCCAAGTTTTAACATGTTCAAATATTAGATGGAGTGTAAAGCAGGTGAGTATCAGAATGAAGGAATATTCTTGTGTAGAGTGAAAAGGAAAATGTTTTTAAAAATGAATCTAGTGAATAAACACAATATAAAGCAACTCTACGACACATTCCAAAGGTTATTGAAGTGTGCCATCTTAAACTCCCTCACAGTCTAGTGTCCCGTTTCATTATGTAAACTGTTGTTAACTCTTTAGTTACATTGTTGGTGCTGCTACAGTAATAAGACCCATATATGTTGACAAGATCCATTTCTTCTATTGTACTTTGCGCAATATTGGTGCTTTAATACTTCAAGTTGAAAGATTTCTCTCTTGTTTTAATATGCAGAGTGAGCTGAAGCTGAGACTCATCAAGCTGAACTGGCAGAAGTCCATGTGTGTAAGAGTAAAGAGCACAGACGAGCAGGCCAAAACTGATGTCAAGGTATGAAAGCTCAGTTGTTCCCACGCTGACTTTGCATACATACAAATGACTCCAAATTGGTGGTTATATAACCTGCTGTGGATTTATGATCCACGAGGAGGCTTTCATGCTGACTCTCAAACATCTCAACAGCTCAAAAAACAAGCCTTGAAGGAGAAGATCGAAGATGATGTCGGTGCTCTGGTTCAGTTTTTGTTGGATGAGAAGGATGATCTGTTGGAAAGGTTGGAGGTCGAAGCGGAGGCCACTATTGGGCTGATCGATGCCAACCTGAAGCGTGTGGAGAGCGAGGCAGCCAAAGTGGACAAAGCCATCACTGAAATTCAAAATCAGCTAAGTGACAGCACTAACTTTGAGGTGAAGAACTTCATACCTCCAGTCACGTTCCAAAACATCTCATCTATTATAAAATAAAATCTTCTTTATTACATTTTTTTTATTGTTCAGAATAAGAATTTAGTTAATTTTGAACATGGCAAGGAATTAAAAAAGATTTCAAAGATGTTACCATATTCTTCAGGCTTTTTCCACATTTTCTGAACTGATTTGGGTGCAAAATATGCAGAATTTATTTAAATATAATTAATGAGCATTTTGAGTAATAATGAGTAGTGCATTTTATTATAAAATGGTATGAATTTTATTATTATTATTATTATTTGTAAATAAATAACGTGTTAAATGGAGAGAAACATACTACACTTATTGGTGGTTGAAAGCATTAAATAGAAATCTGAATTATTCATTTAAACAACCTATATTTTTATATTTCACATTAGAGTAAAAAACAAAACACCACTGTGAATGATCTCGTACAATTACTTTATTTATTGTAAAGGCCCACAAAAGTAACATCCAACTGATGATAAAGATGTGTTAATTATAAGCATGCTGAAGTTTTGCCACCTTAAGTGCTTGAGCTAAAGTCGGTTGGATTCTGATTGGCTGTCAATGTTTTAACATTTATCAGCTGGATAAAAAAAAAATGATCCTAACTATATAAATATATATAACTGTGACTATTTGTCAAGATTTAGTCTCTATAAAAAAGTTATTACATGTCACCGTGTGTGTTTTTAATCTGTTTTTTTTTGTTTTTTCATAATTGTGGCTTTATATCTCTGTTGTTTATATTTTGCAGTGTGACTTTATTATTAATGTTTACCTTTTTTTTCCTTCCAGAGTATCAGTAATTCATACTTAAGGTATGTAAATCTGTATTATTTTTAATCAGTTAATTTATTAACTTGTGAGCTATATCTGCCCTGCTAAAAATCTGTATATTTTTAAGTTTTGTCTCTCATAATGTGTTTTTTCCCCCTTATAGCCCCTGTCATGTAAACCTCGGTGTCCAGGCCTCTAACTCGCCTCCAGATTTCTCAGAGTTCACAGGCCCATTTCAACTCATCATGTGGAAGAAGATGATGCACGTGTTACACACAAGTAAGTTCTGTTGGTGCATTAAGGTGTGGCCACATTGTATTTGCAGGCAAAATCCAGTAATTCCAGTAGAATTCCATGAGATTGGGAATTTTGTGTGGTTAGTCATGTGAATTTGTCTTGTTGACCAACAGAAAGTAGCTTCATACATCACTATACTGTTGACAATGAACCTTTTTCGCCCAAGAAATTTTGCCGAAATGTTGCTAATGTGACCACATTTTTACTCATCAGTGAGATATGTGGCAGCTAGTCATGTGATTAATTTTTGTGACATTCTTGTTGTGAGTTTTTAGTTACATGCTAAACGGCTAACCAGATCTTCCCTGTTTTCCAGTGCCTCAGAATCTGACTCTGGATTTAGACACCGCTCACCCCTCATTGGCCATCAGCGACTTTGACACAAAGGTGGAGGAGGGCCGCGTACGCTCACAGGAGCCCGACATGCCGCAGCGTTTCACCCGTTTCTTCGGGGTGCTCGCTACCGCCCAGTATTCCAGTGGGCAGCACTACTGGGAGGTGGACGTGCGGGACAAGGGGGTCTGGTATCTGGGCGTCACCACAGAGTACAGCAACCGCAAAGGTTTTGTAAACCTTTCGCCCTCTGCTGGCTACTGGAGCCTGTGTCTCCAAGACCGACTGTATGCCAACGAGGAAGACTCGCGCGTGCCTGTGGCGGACTATTGGAACTCTCCTCGTGTCAGTGTCTTCTTAGATTACGACCGGGGGCACGTTACTTTCTTCGATGCCGTCACTATGAAACGAATCTACAACTTTGTCACGTACTTTGATGAGCCCGTCTCACCCTTCTTCAGTCCAGGGAAAAACGACCCGGGCAGCCGACTACAAATATGTCATTTCTACTGAAAACGAAGCGATGCGTATGTGCAGTTTGCAACAGAGAAAACAAATAATGATAAATGCTCCTGTTTTTGTGTTTTTAGTAAACAGTTCAGGGCATTTTCCCTCCTGGAAGTCGGGAGGATGTTTGTTCTTAAGCTCTGCTGGGCTTTTTGGATTCAGTTGATCTGAATTGACTAGTTGCGTAGAGCTTTGATACACCATAATCTGAAGAGTGAATTTAATTTCTCTAGCTCTTGAATTATGATGTAGCCCCACTGAAATTCAGGTAGAGCGGCACTGCAGGTTTTTACACACGTCGACTTTAGCTGCTCTGTGTCGTCTTATGTCTTTGACCTCAGTGTTGTCTTTTGTACATCAGTGCAGAGGTGAAAATAAGGATTGAATCAGGTCAAAAAAATTGATTAATGGTTGATAACGTTTCAAAGTGGAGAAATTCGGCAAATTATTTGGAAAACATATATTTAAATGTTATTAACTGCTATGTATTCCATTAAATGGCATATATTTACTTTTTTATTTTTATTTTTTTACTTTTTACTTTATTTTCTTGTCCATTAGGGATGTATTTGTTAGACAGACTACCCCATAATGTATTGAGAGTGTTACATAAGGCTCTGTGTTCGAACATTTCGTAATGGCTCAGACTGCAATAGGTGCTATGCAACTTCGAGTACGCAAGTTTTCGGCGACAAAGTAGATAAGATGTGCTGTGAGGAGCGTCCTTCTGTTCATTCAATTATGTAGAGATTTTTATAAAGGAGTACATCCTGAAGCTGTGTGCCATTCATGTTGCATAATTTTTATGTAATTTTCAAATCCATTATATTAAAAAGTTTAATAGTCTAGAAAAAGTCTAATCTGTCTCACGGGCTGATGATAAAGAGAGATTCTGGAGATGCTCGTTTTTGTTTCCATTCGTTCCGAAACGAGCACAAAGTGACATTTCAGCACCTTTAGACTGAGGTCAGATGATTTGTTGTTCATGTTGGTATTTACAGATCTAGTTTACATACTAGAACCACTGCAGTCATTTGTACAAAATGTCTTTTGAGCTGAGAAAGGACCAAGGAAACACCGGACCATGAACATGCTCTCCCAACACTTTGTGTTGCCCAGCTATTAAGTTTCAGTTAACATTTATAGTACTTTATTAATAATCAGTTATTTTTTCATAAGAAATTAGTTCAACTTGAACACATTGACTTTTTGTACGTGTAATATTTTTGGATTCCTTTCAATCACTAATTTAAGAGAACTGTTACATCATCTTTGAGCCTAACTGCTGGATGGCACCACAAGTACATTTTTCTTTTGGGTGACTTGTTAAAAACCACTGCGATATGTGTTAAATGTTTTTCTCTGCATTAATAGTCCATTTAAAAATAAAAAAACTACAATGATTTTATTCTCAGTATTTCATGTTTGACAAGTTCCATTAAAAAAAATATAAAAATCCACAGTGTATAACATTTTTAGAAGTGAATCTTTTGGATTAAAAAAGGCTAAATGTAATTTTCAAGTGACTTGTATTTACAGTTTTATTTCAAACTGCAGTAATTGACCAGTAGAATGAGCATACGGTTGATTCTTCATATTATACAAGATCTTTGTTTTTAAACTGATGAAGCACTAGATCATGCATTGGATGGAGTTAAGGTCCATTCACAATAAGAATGAAAACGATGTTGGCGTTTATACCATAGACTATAAAAACGGACCAACGAACATTGTTTATTCTAAACATGATTTGAGGTCAGTGCTTTTATTAATGGGAAAATCGCTCTCAAAGTGATTCCAAAGCTATTGCTTTGACGTTAGTGAAATTTTGCGGGGGGGAATGTCCAATGTCTATTATCAATAGTGATCCATGAAGCACAGTTCACACTTTCAAAACAAGCAGCTTTCTGACGGACGGACCAACTTGTATTTATGAAATCTTGAGTGTGGATTTCTTTGGCTCTTGTGCAAAATTCCTGGTTTTGTGGATTCTAAATTTAAATAACACTGAATTTTGCTTAAGAAAACGGTAAATTTGACAGCAACTTTTTAGCAATGTTATTGTTATAAAGTTATCATTCTTATTGTGAACGGACCTTTATCGCGATGGAAGCAACTTGCAATTCACATATATTATGAATCAATATACAGTATAGAATATTTGTTTTTGGTTATTCCATAATTTTTAATTTCCAGCCTGGCAATAGCAAATCATTACAGGTATCTCGCTGCTGCAGAAACCATATGCCAATGCTAGTAAAATCATTAACATGCAAAAATGTTCTTTGCACAGATATTAAGATATACTTTCACCGTTTCAACTGTGAGCCACCTTGCACAGTATCACAGAGAGTAGCCTATGAAGGAGACGTGGTGTTACATGTCTATCAAAGAGACAAAACTCCACAAAATTAAAGGGAAGTGATTTTTGAAATCATTCGCTGGTGATGGACAATCTCAAAATGAATTATTCGGGAAAATGTGTACAAAACATTAAATAAACACAAATGAAGCATAAACTATAATAATGACTGAAGACGACAGTTGGTTGCTACACTGTGAACAACACACCTGTATGATTGTTTACAGAGAAGAGATATAAGTCCTCATAGCTGATCATCTTTAGAGAACATTAAAAATCAGAGGCAATTTATGTGAAATACTTGGGTTTGATTATATTTCTATTTCCTCGTTCAGTTGGATTTTTCAACATGTAAAGTAGCCTTGTGCTTTAGAAAAATAAATAATTTGGAATGGAAAAAATATGTCCTTTTTGGCTCCTTTTGTTTAGTGGTTAGATTTTTTTTTTTTTAGCATCACTTCCTGTGCTGTTGATATCTGTGAGGGATGATCAGCTCAGATGTTCGATCTGAATGATTTGAACACCCAGTTAACTGAAAGTGCTCACCGAATAGCTCAGATATAGTGAAATCTCAGTACCAAATGCTGTCATAGGACAATACAAGAAGCCAGTGTCATTTACATGTTACATACACTAAATATGTTCATATGTAAACAAATTTGTATATTTACAAATGCAGAATGTAACTATTACAATGCACAACTGTTGCAGTCATGGGAAGCTCAACCACTGTGAAACAGGAGAGGAAGTTTGGAAATAATGGACTTTTCTGCAAGGGTTTAAGACAGCGATTAACAAAATGTTTTGCTATATATATATTTTTTTTTATTTATACACAACTTACATGATTTCTAATAAGAATCTGTGCTTATTGATATGGTTTCTGTTATTTACAATCAACATTCCTGGTTTAGTAGAGAAGCAGTTCTTTGTTTGGGAACATGAAAATCAGCAGAAGATTAAAGAAAAGTGCATTTTGTTCATTCGATTCTTCCTCTCTGGTTTGGCCGAGGATTTCGCTGATGTGACCATGCAAACTGTGATGAACCCAAGATGAAGGAGAGTTTGTGGCACCTTGTGGCAGTACCTGAGCTGTTACTGCAGGTACCGGTAGACTTTGAAGCAGTGGTTACCAGAATCGGCCACCACAACGTGACCGTCGGAGGTTAAAGCGAGGCCCTGCGGCCCATACAGAGGGTCAGCACTTGTGTTGATGTAGGAGAGGAATGAGCCTGAGCTGTCAAACACCTGAGGAAATTTTTTTTAAATTGTCTTAAAACGTGCTTTTAAAGTGACTAGTTTCAACTTGTAAAGAGGAAGTGGGTGTTTAGAGGATTCATTACCTGTATTCTGCTGTTGCCCCAGTCTGCTACAATGATGTTGCCGTTAACATCAACAGCTACCCCTGTGGGAGCATTAAACTGGCCGTTTCCCTCTCCATG